GAGGGGAAGTATCACCTCCTTGGATCTGTTTGTCATGCATCTGCTGATGCACGATAAAGTGCCATTAGCTTTTCTGATGGCTTCGTCACACTGCCGACTCATGTTCATCTTGGAGTCCACTAGGACTCCAAGATCCCTTTCCACTTCCGTGCCACCAAGCAGGTCATTTCCTAGGCAGTAGGTATGCTGGACATTTTTCCTCCCTAGGTGCAGCACTTTGCATTTCTCCTTGTTGAACTGCATTCTGTTGTTTTCTGCCCATTTGTCCAACCTATCCAGGTCTGCTTGCAGCTGTTCCCTGCCCTCCGGCGTGTCCACTTCTTCCCATAGCTTTGTGTCATCTGCAAACTTGGACAGAGTACACTTCACTCCCTCGTCCAAGTCGCCGATGAAGACATTAAAGAGTATCGGTCCAAGGACCGAGCTCTGTGGGACCCCACTGCCCACACCCTTCCAGGTCGAAGCCGACCCATCCACCACGACTCTCTGGATACGACCCTCTAGCCAAATCGCCACCCACCGGACTGTGTAGTCATCCAAGTCACAGCCTCTTAACTTGTTCACCAGTATGGGGTGGGATACCATATCGAAGGCCTTCCTGAAGTCTAAGTATACGACATCCACCCCTCCTCCTGTGTCCAGGCGTTTCGTAACCTGGTCATAAAAACAGACTAGATTAGTCAGGCATGATGATTAGGCGATTTGGCCACCAAATTGGGCCAAATCTCTTCCAAATCAAATCACCACCCGAAGCTTCGCACGGCCCTAATAGCCAGCAAACTTTCTATATGGGCAGTTTAGCAGAAAGATCATATCAAAGGATAAAACACATGAGACCTCATAAGAAAAGCTTCAGATCTTGAGAGATTTCCAGACTAATTTTTACAGACTCCAAAGCTTCAATAAGCACATCGAACTGAGGATGTATATTGAAAGTAAATCCCTGACTCTACTTAAGTTTCCCTATTAATGGTCCTTTACTGCAGTACAAATATCAAAGTCATGGTCAGTCATTTATGTTCCAAGAAGGAGGTACAGGTCCTCTGCTCATCTGTTGCAATGACTTTATGCTGTTATACAAAATGCCTGAAGCAGATTTAATTGTGCTGTGTGATGCATGTTGGCTTTAGCAGAGGAGTGACAGTTGCATGCTGAAGCTGTATGACTTTTTTGCAGCCAAAACAAAACTGGCAAATGTTTTGGCTTTGTGCCAGTTCAGCTTGTGGGCCCCAAATATCTGACATTTCAGCTGAAATGTTTGCTGTGGTGAAAAATAGTTGTCAGGGTTCTTGTCAGAAAGTGAAGACTGGCTATGGTCATCCTGCTTGATGCACATCTTCAGTCTCTTCATACAGAAAGAAACTAAACTTTTTCTTGTGTGACACTAACTTTGTGCTGATCTACTCCATATACACTGCTCTACTACCAGACTTCTGCACTGAACTTATACTTTCTTCTGATAAAGCATAGTGGATATTTTAGCCTGAAAGTTACATTGACACAACCGACAGCTTCTGAAGTTGTTAGGGGGTTTTTTGCGTGTTGTTTTTTTTTTGAGAAATCATATTGCAGGAAAAACTCTAGTATCCACAAAGATGTTCTTCTTTAGAATCCCTTTTTATTTCATGTTCAATTGCCCATGCTGGGGGTGCTCAACCTCTGACCTGCATTCCAGATCCAACCTGTGGGTTTTCCCAGCAGTCCAAAAATCCAGCATTCAGGAAGCAGTGCCAGCATTAATTTCAGATCCCCTGCTGTCAAATTTCTGGATCTGTGGGGAGCCCTGAAGGCTGAATGATGTGGACTGCTATGCAGAGTTGGGCCAGCACAGCTGGACTAGCCAGGGACTGGCCCTGCACCACTCATCTAGCCCACATGGCCACACATTTAGCAGCACTGTCCCATGTCATTGAATGAATACATATTGAGCCTGGCTCAGGAAAACTGTGGTAAACAGAGGTCACATGATAAAGTTAGCTAAATGTTGAAATGATGTTGTAGACATGGAGAAGGGTACTATGTACCAGAAAGCTTGTCTAAATCTATCCCAAGTATGCAGTTTGCCCAATTAAAGAAATATATTTGCTCACAGAAATCCTTGTCTCTTACAAATTAAGAAAGGCATTCAACAGTGGGAGCAAGAGAGTGGATGATGCTTGTTGTTGTGTCTGTGAATATCCATTCCCTGTGGTATGAGCATTAAGCATAACCTTAGAGTTATATGTTCTGCCTTCTTACCCAGAGGAAGGTCAGGTTAGTACTTATGCTGAAAATTAACTATTTTAAAAGAGAAAGAATCTGTCAGGGTAGCAGTAAAGATTAGAAGAAGGAAGCTAGAAAGCCAGGAGTCTGTTTTCTTTAAGTTTAAAGTATTGTATTTTTATTTAGTTCCAAATAATGAATGAGAGCTTTGAATCCACAGTATTGCATATATCCCCCTTGGTGAAAAGGTGATTTAACTTTCAAGGAGCAGGAAAGCCACACCTGTGCTAAGTGCACTTTCTACTTCTGCTAATTGCAGTAATCAAGCCTATTAATAGTCTAAAATAGGGATTCTCATACTTTTTCATCACATGACCAAGAAATGAATAGTTGACACACATGAGACAGAAGTGACAGTTTTCTCTTGATCTGGCCCCTGAAAACTCTACAACTGTGACCAAACAAAAATGCATGTCTGCAAAGTGCTTTAAAAGGGCTCTATCCCACAAAAATCTGAACCCTGAAGACATTTCAAAACAGAGCCTCTTTTGTAACTTCTGTCTAAGCTGCTTCCTAGCCTGTCACTGGTTTCAGAATAGGAGGGGGGAAAGAGAGTGAAGGGAGTTTGGTCTGGGGTTTTTTCAGCCCCAGCTGGAGGTTGGGGGTGGGTGAATTGGAGCCAGCTGTGGAACACCAAAAACCAGTTTCCTTTGTTCCCTTTCCCCCCTCCCATTCTGAAAAACAGCAAGGGCTAGGACGGAGGAGGGGTCATTGCTAGGGGAAACCAGCAGCAGGCTGAAACCAGTAGCTAGATTCCTCTCCCTCCTGGATTCAACAGTGAACTTCTGTTTGGTCTGGGAGATCGTTGTAATTTGGAACAGTTCCTGCAAAGTGCTATTAGTTACAACAGGGAGCTGCACTTCTGTTTGTGAGCAGAAATTTGCCTTCTCATTTATATTTGCATGTCATCTCCCTTCTTGTTTATAATTGCATTACATCCCTTTAGCATATTGTCATTGTGCAAACTAAAAATGTGTATGAAGTCATTCTAGATACGAGATAGCAGCTACAGCAGAATGGGCCTGTCTGACCCTATGCTGTGGGTGGATTTATATGAAACTGGCAACATCTTGCATAGTAACTAGGTTCATGCAGTGAATAGTAAACAAGAAGTGAGCCCATAGTCCAGAATAAAGTTATCAAAAACAACTTTTAGGCAATGAGCAGCAGTGTGAAAGCGATTACTTTATGAAGAGGAGAGTAAATGAAATACAAGACAAGAAGGGAAAATAGCAATGACTACAGTGGAGAACAAAGCACTGAGGCCCCAGAACCTTTTCTTCTGTATCACAGGAAATCTTAGGTTTTCTTGACTATTTGAGCTTTCAGATTAAGAATTACTGTCGTCCAAAACAATGGCCCAGGAACAATAGAAACAGTTGTTTCTAACTAAGCCTGTGGTCAAAATGTAGAAATAGCATTTTAATATCTTTATGTCTCCTTTCTCCACATCCATTCATAGCATCTGACCAGGTAGGCTGTTGCCTACAAAACCTTTTGCCTCTCTGAACCAGTGAGTTTCTAAGGAGCCACCTGCCCTACCTTTTGTCTTTTTTATGCCTCTCTGATACTTGTGCTAGATAAGGGCAAATTCATTCCCCATTGTTAAGTCAGAAGAGCTTCTGGGAAGGTTGTGGAGGGTGTGCAGAGTGTTGCAGTAGGATTTATTTGGATGCAAGATGGTATAGACTTGGAATAACGTTTCCTGGAAGCCCCTGCCCTAAAACTGAGTCCCTGTGTTTGTTACTGTTTTGCTGACCACTTCTCTGTAAGGGACTGCTTTGAGGGAGCAGAAGAGAGCTATACAAAGTTCATCCTTAAAGGATCCAAAGACGACTGAAGTACCTTGGGATCACTATTTTGCTACATTAACTTACTGCCTTCAATCAATGAGTATTGAAGACATCAGTTGTTCAGTACAATGAACCAAAGAATAGTGCAATTTTAGTGTTTAAATGATCAGTTCTCACTGTCCAAATTAAATTATCTTCCACATCATATTTAACTTAAAAGAGTTGGCATCCTTAAAACAAAATACCATCTTTTGGTGCATTTTCTATGGGTCTTTCCTGTTCTTTCTTCTCCGAGTATCTTGCACGGTGATAGAAAAATATAATGATGACAGTGGCAACATTCAAAAGAAGGATAAGCAGCATGATCCAGTATGAGTAGCCATAATTACTGGTGGACTTTTCATATTGATTTGTAGAAAATGTACATTTTGAAGCCAACTTTACTGACAGCTTGTTTGCCTCTATATTCGCTGCAAATAATATCATGGCTAGAAGAATGAAGATGCCTAGAAAATATAAATACAGATGTTACAGAAAAGCATTCTTTGGGTAAGTTTAGGCAAATACAATAGTTCTATTGTGTATTTTAGTCGAGAAAGTTACACCCATGTGAACATTTTCAGATTTTTTCAAGGAGAAGTTTGCATAGTGCAAATGTTGCTCTTGGACTTTGTAGCTGTATATAATATATTCTATTTGAGCCATGTATTCAGTTTCTGTTGATGTCAGTGAAATTTTGCATTGGAAATATATAGTGAGGTTCCGCAAGAGTTGATACATATGAACTGTAGATCAGAGTCCTATTTTTTTACAGACTTAAACATATGTGGATGTGGTGGTTACCTTAGGACTTGGCTAAATAGTGTTGGAGTCTGAATGTGTTATTAATGCTGCTTGGAATATTTTTCTTGGAGCTATTTGGTACGTCTACATGAGACACTTCAAGCTCAGTAGGCTAATTCTACTGCATATTAGCACAGTGGGCAAAACCTGTGCTAACGCGCTAATGCACAATAGAATTTGTCTCCTGCTTGGTAGCATCACCTAAAATGCATGCGCCAGCGCTACTGTGCAGTAGCACCGGTTACTGTGCATTTAGTTAGTACCTGTTATTACAGGTTATTACAGGTTCTAAACTTAATGTGCAGTAACCACTGTGCACATGTAGATGTGCCCCCTAATTAACTCTCTGATTCTAGTTCTTTACAGGACCTACTTAGCATTAGGGCTGTGCCAGGCTTCAGACAGAGCTTTGGATCCACAGAAGCTTCAGACACTTTGGGGTCTGAAGCAGCACATCCGGGTCGAAGCCTCGTTCAGCTTCCTGAAGCGGTTCGGAGCCACCTCGGAGATCCGGCCATAGGGTATAATGGGGAAACAATAAAATATCTATAACTTTGTTGTTTTTTGTATGATTTGGATTAAATTTTCAGAAGTAGTAGACTATGCAGAGAGGATAGAGTCTGCCAAGTTTTGAGATGATCGGTGCAGGAGTTTGGGGGAAACATCACCCCAAATTCTTGAAAGCAAAACTCATGTCACATCTAGGTGTTACCACATAGCGGGGTGAAATCTGCAGGGTTGGTACCTCTTACTGAGGCCACAAAGCCTGCTAGGTTTCAAGAAGATCAGTGCAGGGGTTTGGGGGGAACTGCCCCTCAAGCTGCGGACAAGCAAAACTGGTGCCACGGGTACTTGTGGGACAGACTGTCTGTCCTGGGGCAGGGAGGGGAAACACTGCTGCAGGCCTGGCTGCTACGCTGCTGTGTTACCAGTTACCAATCAATTAATCATGATTCACTCAGGGACCAGGGACTCGGGGACCAGTTCAATACACAGGACCTGGCTACTACATAACGATTTAACGAGCATCAATCAGCACCTACAAAACCAGGCTAAGGAGAGGAAAGAATCAATACAGACAATAACTGCCCCAAGACAGACACAGTCGTGGCAAGAGTTTTGTCTGTCAGCAGCTAGGGATGCAGGGCCCCAGAACCCACCTGCACCGATCTCCTCCGCAGCTGGCAGGCGTCACAGTAGGGGCCACCATCCCTGCAGCTGTCACCCCGCTGCACCTTAACACACATAGTGGCACCCATGGCAAGGGTTTTGCTTGTCCGCAGCTTGAGGTACAGTTCCCCCCCAAACCCCTGCACTGATCTCCTTGAAACTTGGCAAGCTTTGTGGCCTCAGTATGAGATACCACCCCTGCAGCTTTGACCCCCTGTGGTGTGACACAGCCGTGATATGAGATTGGTTTTCAAGAATTTGGGGTACAGTTCTGCCCAAACCCCTGCACCGCTCTTCCAAAACCACTACACCGATCTTCTTGAAACTTGGCAGGCTTCATTCTCTCTGCAGAGTCTACCACCTCTGAAAATTACATACAAATCATACAAAAACCAACAAAGTTATAGATATTTCATTGATTCCCCATTATACCCTATGGCCAGATCTCCAAGGCAGCTCCAAAGCTTAGGCTGAATCAAGGAGGAAACCTGGTCCGGAGCTCCAGATCAGATCGCAGCCATCCGAAGCGGCTGGATCTGAAGCTGGATTGGATTGCTGCTGACTCGCACAGGCCTACTTAGCATGTTGTTCTTCCCATTTATATCGCCTATTGTATTTTTTACCTCCTTCCCATACTTAAACCACCATACCTCTATCTACAAGTCTCAATGATCAGAAAATCTTCTGAGGGTGTTATAGAATTTGGAGATCAGTAGTAAGAAATCAACAGGCTTTAAGGAGTGATCATGTTATATTCACCTGTGAATATGGCTTTATTTAAAACAGTAGCTGTTTTCCAAAAACAAGATGTCAGGTTCTCTGAAGAAGTAAATCAATATAGCTCCATTGACATTGGAGCAGTGAAGCCCATGTACACTAGGAGAGATTCTGTCCCAAGATCCATACTGCTTGAGAGGGATTCCCCAGATGAGTTTCAAAATGCTATTTAGTGTAAAGCAAAAGCAGAGGTACCCAATATAACAGTTTTGCATTTGAAATGCTTTAGGAGGATGCATCTCTAATACTGAAGCACCTTGTAATCAGATATTTTTCAGTAACTTCTCCAAATCCAAAGCCTGCTCTTAGGGGAAGCAGAATCCTCTTGAGATAAATTCAGTTTGAGAGATTGGTTTATTACAGTAGCAAGATCAGAAGGATAGCAAAGGTATGTTAAAGGAAGCCAGATGCAAGCCTAATGGGTGAATGATAGGTTATACCTCCAGGGAACTGCTTGCAGGAGTTCAAATCTCTACTAATTTTTTATCTTAAGGAATATTTTATCTTATTATCATCTGTAAAAGCATTTTTCTCATAAAGAAAGAAAAAAATGATGGCATTTTCACAATTCTAAAACCTCGTGTATTCTTTGGATTAAAACGTAATTGTTTCATGTATGTGTGTTGGGCTATTATGTCTTTGCAGACTTGAGTGAGATAACAAGGTGTAGCACTGCACAGGACTTTAAGGCTAAGTACAAAGTTTCAAAAAGCCTGAGGTGGAATTGGTTCAATCGTCACAGGTTTTTCTAAGCTGCATAGATTGAACCGATAACAGACTGAACTGTTGTTCAGTGTTTGGGTGGCCAAGACAAGCAGAAGCCTGCACTAGCCCAGGCCAGGGGCCTGGGGGTGCTCATGAGCACCACCCTTTGTGGTCAGCTGCCTAAGGCTGCTAAATCAGCCCAGTGGCAACCCAGGCCTGACTGGCTACTGGACACCCACCACCCCTGCCCCGCTGTCAGCTGCAGGGAGGGGAGAGGCAGTAGAAAATTCCTCCCTTGCCTGAACCTCTGAGAGGGAGGTAGGGAAGGGAAATGCACCACCCAGTCCTGGCCGCCCAACTGGAGTCTGCCTAGAATGGGAAAAGACCACACTGGGGGGCTTTTCACCACCCCACAGCCTGGCTAGCAGGGCTCTGATTGGCTCAGCCCCACCCCCTGCCCAGCCCCACACCTGTGAGAGGGGGCGGGGGGAATACACGCATCTAGCCTGGCACCAGCCCCTCCTACATTTGGGGTCTGCCTAGCATAGGAGAAAGACCCCACTGGGGGTGGGGTTTGCTCCCCTGCAGCCTAGCTAACCAGGCTGGGACCAGTTCAGCTCTGCCCTCTCTTTAGACCCTGCCTGAGAGAGGCACAGAGCGGGGTGAATGCAACAGCTCAGCTGAACACTGACCTTCCCCCAGCTGGGGGGAGTCCCCACTGGGGGATTTTTGCTGCCCCACAGCCCAGCTCACCAGGCTTGCATGGGCTCAGCCCCAGCCCTCCTACCTGTAGCCTTTCCCCCTGTGGTCGATTGCCGAGCTGGATGGGCACAGGGGGGCCCCCAGTGCACTCCCTGGCAGACCCAGAAGTGGACCCAGTACTTCCAGTCCACTTCTGGGTTCACAGCCGAGCATGTGGATGGCCCCCCTGCATTCCTGTGGGATGCTCCATGCGCCCCAACATCGCAGCATTCAGGAGCTGCACATGGTACCTCAAGGTATGTAGAAAAAACTTTTAAAGCTGTGTCTGTGTCTGAATTGCTGATTCTCTAAATCAGCATCAAATCTTCAGATTCGTATTCAGCCAAATCGATTCAGGGACAGTGATCTGAATCAATGAATTGAGTCACCTTCCCTGATTTGGGCCATATTCAAATCGAATATGGCCCACTTCGCACACCCCTACTAAATAACTTTAAAAATATGTGCCTTAGTTACTTCCAATACCTTCATTTTCCTGTCTGGGTTTCAGTAGTTTAAAAATGGTCAGATTATTCAGATCTTTGATGACATCTATGCATTAAATTATAATGTAAATGGTCATTTCTATTCATTTTCATTATTGTAATCAGTGAAGCCACTAACTTACTGACGGATGGATTAATTTAAAGTAAACAATAAAATGTTACTGTTTCTATAAGAGGTGGGATGTTTCAATATCAGTTTGAAAGCCTAAATAATGCAAAACCATCTTTCAAAATAATGTCAGTTTATAACATGTCCCATATCATATGGGAAATAATCTTTGCCCATTCTTAAAATTCATAGGCAAGCCATATTTATATATGGCTATGGAAAAGAGTGTTTGCTTGCTGTCAGCATAGATAAAATCAAAACTCCTTTATTGCCCCCCTCCCCTCTTCTGGTAAAAATGGGTATGTGAGCATGCATCTACAGTAAACTCTCCGGTAACCGGCACCTTACAAGCTGGCATGCTCAGTTAACAGGCATGCCGGCTTGTAAGGGAAAGTGAAACCGGAAGTGCCCACCGTGCCACTTCCAGTTTCTTCGAGACCCCATGGCGCAGGGCAAAGCAGCCTGCGCTGCCAAGCCCCCATGGCCCAGGGGCATAACAGGCTGCACAGGGCTGTGTGGGGCCCACCTCCCTGTCTTGCGGGGTCCACAGGGCCCATGGGAGGGGCAGCGATGCCACAGGAAGGGCAGAGGGACACCCCAGACACAGCGGGAGAAGTGGCAGCTGGGGCCACTCAATTAACCGACATATTTTGTTATCCAGCATCCCCCATTCCCAGGGGATGCCAGATAACAGAGCTTTTACTGTATTAACGAATCAGGAGATATAATCTGTACATACAGACATATGTATTAGATACACTGCACAAGTTCTCTTTGCTCCCCACAGCACGGTGGAGTTGATATAAATAAGAATCAGGATCTAGATACAAAGTGTATTATAAAATTTCTTTACCTGAAAATCAACTATCCAACAAAAATTATTAGGGGCCTTGAAATCAAGACTGGAGGAAACGGTTAAAGAACTAGGGTTATTTGGTCTGGAGAAGAGAAGACTGAGGAGGCAAGGGTTGATAGCAGTCTTCAAAAACCTGAAGGGTGATTACAAAGGATGATGATGGGCTTCTCTCTGTGGCTGTAGGGGACAAGACTAGGAGCATTGACTACAGATTCAGCAGGGGAAATTTAGATTGGAGATTAGAAGGAACTTCCTGATGATAAAGGCAGACAGACATTGGAACAGGCTACCCAGAGAAATTGTGGAATCCCCCAACCTCCTTAGAAATTTTCAAGAGCAGGTTAGGCTGACACGCAGCAGGGTTGGTTTAGGCAGGGATGATCCTGCCTTGGGAAGGGGCTTTCCAGTCATACTTTCCTGGGATCTAAAGTAACATAGCTTACATACTTACCATTTAGGGAATTCCAGGTGTAGATTCCAATAGGCCCCAAAAAAGTCTGATAGGGATTACATACAGTGTTACTACACGTAAATCCAGAACTCAGAAGAGAGCTGAACAAACTGAGAATCAGGAGCAAGATGATCACAACGTTTATACTTTTTGTTTCCATGTTATCCAATTTATCTAAAACTGAAAGAAAGAGTTCAGCATTAATACCTTAACTTGAACCTAATGATACAGGGAAGTGGACCCGACTAGGGTCTGCCTAGACAACTGCTTAGAGCCACGGTAGCAGATGGGTTACTGATCCAGCCTGGACCCTAGTCTTCTGACAGTCAGCTCTTGGCTTAGTTGGGTGAAGGTCTGGGTCCCAGTCCTGAACAGCTACAGCAGCCTGACCCAGGCCCCTTGGCTAGAGACTGAGGTCTGAATAATTGCTTCCTGTCCCTAATTCCTCTGGTTTGTGGTTCTACCCAGGGTGACTGCCTACGCCCTGGTCTGTTACAGACCTTGAGTTCCTGACCTGCCTGCTCCTTATTCCATAAATCTAATTGGGACCCTTGCTTCCCTGTCATTGTCTCTTATCTCTGAAGTTGTGACCCTTTAGGGTCAAGCCTGAAGGCCTGTATCTGGGTCATGCTGCTGATAAGCTTCGTGGTTCAGGCATTTCCCTGAAAAATGAGAAATTTGGGTTCAACTGCTGTGAGATACAAGGCTTGTCTTCTAAGCTTTATTCAGTCTCCTGCACCAGTAATCCAATGCCTAGGCTATAGGGTAAAAGGTACATGGACCTACCTCCACCATGCTTTGTGCCTAATCTTTGCCTCAAAGGCCATGTCTATACGTTGCCCTACAGTGACACAGCAACATGCTACATTGGTATAAGGTGCGCTACAGCAATGTAGTGATCACGTGGGTATACACGTGATTGGCAGCTACATCGCTGTAGTGGTGCACTCCCTTGGGTATAGTGTACTGCTATGGCGATGTAGCGGGAAAATCTAACCATGTGACACATGCACAGCAAAGCAACTGCCCGTACTACGCTTTAGTACTTACAACAGGAAGTACTAAAGCATGGCATCATAGCAACGTCACTATCTAGCGACATGTAGATGCACCCATTGTGTTTTAAAGTAGCCTAGTTTTTCTCTGCCTAAGGAATCAGAGACCGGTGGATTTCATTTACTCCCCAAAGAAAATTGGTGGGAATCAGCCATCTAAATAGTTTTGCAGCTGCTTCTGAGAATGTTCATTACCCCACGTTCCAGCCAGGCACATAAGAAAGGATGATAATTTAGGGTTGTAAGAAAAGAAGAATATGAAGGAAGTGGTGTCCATTTTTCATAAAATACCTGTTTTGGAGAGTAATAAGCATTGTTTTCTAGACTTCTTGGCAGTTTTGTGGCTGCTGTCAGGTGGAATAGGATGGCACTTAGTGACTTAGACATCTGCAAGCCACATTAAGTGCCACTTTTGTTGCAGTTGTTTTTTTAAGGTCTTAATTAATATGTTATAGGTTACCTTTCTCTGTTCTTTATTTTTGAAGGCTAAAATCCCATATTTTATAACTGGAATAAACAAAGTAATCTACAAAAACAGATTTGGTTGAAAATAATCAGTATGAATCTCTATTTAGATTAAACCTTCTACACATTTATGATATAAAACAATCTGAATGTGAGGGATATCAATCCACCTGTGGAGTCCTCCCTATCTTCTTCCACATATTCACTTGCTTGTTTGTTTTTACCTCTAATTGGTCAGAGCTCTTTAACTATGCCTGGCCTGTCACAATATGTTGGTTCTAGAACTCAGTCCAGCTCCCTTTTTAATGACCCCAATTTACCATTGACTTGAAAGGGCATTGTTTTGGGCTACTTTGTCTTCATGTGTCTTCCATTTTTAGTGCTATCATTGTACATAAACTGAAGATAAATAGTGTGTTTTTTCAAAGTACATTATAATCCGACCCGCTAGTCCAATTTCATAAATTCCATGGAGACCCCATAGAATATGTGTGTGCATGAATTTACACTTTTAATCAACATTATGGTGTCAATACTTTTCAAGTGTGTATCTGACTCCTGACAGGATATTGGACAAAGTAACAATACTCTCTCTAAGGTTAAAATATGTTCTTTGTGCTGATGTTTTTGCTTGTTGTTAATAAAGTTACATTCAACACTAGCTCAATGAGTGTATGTGAATCTGCCTCACCCTGCACAATCTGCACCAAAAGACTAAAATGCAATAAGTTTGCTTCCAAACTGAAAGCAAGACAAGACACTAAAAATATTTCACATTCTATATCAAATTAACTGAAATGTTGTTGGGCAGGCTGTTTCTGCCATACTTAAAACACAAACTCAACAGACTACTTGTTAGGAACAAATATGTCTATAAGGTGACTAACGGCTTCTGACATTTTTTGTAGCTTGTTCTGTCCATCACCTGAGAGTATTAAGCAGCCATGTTAGTTGTTTAGCCTATCTAAATCATTAGTGGCAGCTTATTAACATGCTGCTACTTTAGTTGACCTTTTCATATTCTGCACGGTTCCTTGACAAAATATGCTATGGAAAATCAAATATTCCTTCCAGTGGAGTAATATCCAAAATAAAATTTCAGGTACAATCATAGTAAATGTTTTTGTTAGCGTGTTATTTATAAACCTAATAATTAACCAGTCCTCTGAAAACAACCACAATGGAATAGCCAGCAAACATTTCTGATTTCCAAAAATAGCTATATAAAGGTTAAACTCTCCTGTTTGGTTTATGTTGACTATCTTTTACAGCACAATTTCCATTCTAATTCTTAGGCACAATGTCCCCTGAAATCCATGGAAGTTCCACATGAGAAACAGGGACAAGATATCTAATGGAGATCCACAGTGCATGAGACAGTTGCTGCTATTAACAGGATGGGCTGCGTGGTTAAAACAATGCTTATTATTCTTCCTAACAGTTAATTTATGAAAAAAGGACACCTGTCCCTTCATATTTTTCTACAACCCCGCCCCCCACAATAACATTTTTCTCAGTTCCACTTTGTCATGGCAGCTATGTGATAACACATAGCCTCTGCAATTTAAAATCCTTTTGTTTCTAAAATTGCTATGGATCAAATGGCTAGTGTCACTCTGAAGTAATACTTCATATTATAGTGGTTGGAATTTTGCTACAAAATATTTTTAAATGGTTTCTGAAAACACCTTTTTTTAATGATAGCCATGGTAAAAAATACCACCAAGATCTGAAAACAGAGTTTTCTGTAAATTTTATTTTCAAATTGCTATTTTTGTATTTAACCATTTCTGTACATGAACAGTATAGCAAAAACCATGAGCAATGTGGGGATCCAGACATGGAGTTTAAGATTGAAATTTCAAGCAAGTGGTGAGTTATACAAATATTAGCCACTTACCATCTCTCCAAAGCTATAGAAGACCAGTGTGTTCCATTTGGCCTTTCGTCATGTTCAACATTTAGAAAACAGACAGAACATGACTATTTAAGTTACTACACCATTTATTTTTATCAGTTAAAAATACATAGAATAGTTCTCACAGTTATTTTCTCACATTATAGTCTAATGACAGTTTTTCCCTTTTCACACTACTTTGTGGGGATATGGAATTCAGTTTTGGTGAAAATGGCAAAATAGCTTCCCTCCTCACCAACAATCTCATTAGTCGAAAGGGGTGATAGTTCTTTCTCAAAGAAAGAGATTGTAGTTTACTAGGATACTCTGACATTTGCAGTCTGATCAGTGGAGTTATTTTAATATTGTTTAATATTAAGTTTAAAGTGTCAGAAAATCTTTCACAAAAGTGTGTATTGTACATGTCTTGAGAATTTGCAAAATCATATAGAACAGGCCTCAGCAAAAAAAATCTACAATACTGCACAATTGTACAACCTACGATATTAGCTTGCAAAGAACAATTTTTCCAACTATTCACTTGGTCTAATAAAATATATCACATTTACCCAAATAACATTCCCTGAATATGTCCTTAGGCCAACCCAGCCACAACCAACACCTTTAGAATAAAAACACGTTACATTTTACTGTGTCATATATCAATTTAACTCAGGGACTCAAGCAAATTGATAGATTATTTTTCAAACATGTTCTTTACCCATCTGGTAAAGTTCTTGCTTAAAACAGTTGCTATGGCCAAAATTTACACCTCTTTTCATCATATTTAAATTTCGCCAGAAACAGGAAAGCCACAATGGTACATTGCAGCTAATAACTTGCCAAATATCATTTTACATTTTAGTTATAATTCAATTAGGCAGCAATGAAGCACAGTACCATGCCTAAAAATATAGTATGCAGGTCAAATCCTACCTGCTTTGCTCTTGCAAATATCCTGTGAGTGCTTTTTATTAGTTTGTAATTAATCCTTATATTGCAGTAGCACACAGATACCATAATCAGGCTGAAGACTCTACTGTGCTAATCATTGTAAAAGACAAAATGCATGGCCTACATTATTTCCAATCTAAGGTGGCCTTCTGCAGTGCCCTCTATATGGGTAAATTCCAATTTTTATAGATAGAACTGTGAACAGGAAAAGCACTGACTGGCATAAGGGTAAAACAATTAAATATAAACAGTTCTTATACATAAGCATTGTTTTTTATACCTGCATAGATATGATTTAAACTAGCTAAATCAAATCCTGATCTAGCCCTTCTACCATAACCAAATTGAATTGTTTTAATGGACTGATGTCAAAACTTCGGGTTTTAATATACCCTTGTGTAATAATTTTAATTCTTAAAGTAATATTTAAGCTATTCTGCTAGTAAAGATTTGATTGGAATGTAGATCTTACAATTTACATAAATTAGGATTGCATAGCCCTGCCATTATAATCATTTGATGTTCTGCTGTCATTGTAGTGTAATTACATCCCAAGGGTGAATTGGCTCCTCTTGTCACTGTTACAAACTCAGGTCCTGTTGGTAATGCAGGTAGAGCATTCTTGATAAATTCAGGTAATAATATTATGAATGAGGAAGAGCTAAATGATTCCAATCATTATTTTCTAAATCAAGGAGCTTCTGGAGTTGTCTGGCTGTGGTCTGTTTGTGCTAGTAGTGTCTCTGCCAAAAGTATGAGGAGTAGAAAGCTGTAAAATATTTTCTAAATTATTTAAATAATACTTCCTAATTGTAGGGCATTGGGGGCTGCTTCTCCTCTCAGGTTCATACTTAACCATTAAAGTAGTTATTCTGAAGTTATTGGATTAACACTGGTGTAAATACCACTGTACATCGTTGTCAATAGAACAACTCTCAGTAAAAATTTAAGTGTGTGTGTAATCTTTTTAGAATTGTCAGACACTTCTATCCACTTCAGTAACATTTATTTAACTTACACAGTTTCATTATTTCTACTTTGCTGCTTCTGGTATTTTGTTTCTAGTATTTTTTTTTTCATTTTTACTATCTTTCTCAAGGGTCCTTCCCTTCCCCTTTTTCATCTTTTTCTCTTTTTGTCTGTCTTAATATTTCTTTCTTTTCCTGTCATCCTTGTAAACTTATAAATTTATCAGATAGGCTTCTTGGCAATCGTAAAGAAAAAGAGCCTGAAAGGTGGATAACAAATTCACATTTCAATGTACATTTAATACAGTGTAGCATTAGAAATAAGAAATTGCCACTACTGGATAGCTATAGTAATATGCATAGAAATAAAAGAATTAAAATACTATTTTATGTTAAATAGAAGTTGATTTAAATGGAAATGGATAATAAATATTATCATGTTAATCTTTTTTTTCACCAATCTGTAATTTTAAAAGTTTAACTTTAATTATTAAAAAAATCAATGTATAGCATGTTTTAACTGCTTTGATATCAGTAAAGCATAGCTATATTATAGTCAATGGAATATAAGACTTATGACAATCTTTCTAAAAAAATTAAATTAATGTTTTATGTCAAACATCAGTGTCAGAGCACTGTATTTACTTGAGAAAACATACATGTTAGTTCCAGATATGTGTTACTCTGTTTTTATCATTAATTTATCCAGACTAGACTCATTCAATAGAACTTTATCTAATACTTTGGATTTTTTCTTTGAATAATCTACTCAAGCTTAAATCTATGACTGGCAATTGGGAGCAAGAAGCAAACTTCTAAATTAAGATTTGAAATACCAAATAATTAATTTTGACTTTAATTTGGCGAATGTCAGGAAAAATCTAGCAGCAATAATAAGTGATTTTGCAAACAAATTGTAATCTATGCATAAAAAGTCCTACTAGTCTTGATATGTGATATCTTTCATATTTTAAATCTAAAAAAATATTATTAGAATTCTGTTCTTTATTGAAAGTTTTACAAACATGGACTTGCTATTTCTAATATACCCATTTCCCTTTTACCTTGATACTTACTTTCCACAATGTGGTGGATTACATGTTCATGAATAATTTGAAAGTTTGCCCCTTATAAATGTGTTGATGCTATTATATGCTTTACTATTTGTTTTCTCCTTTTTAAAGTCTCCTTAATCCTTTGATGTTAGTCTGAACATTCTCTGTCTTCAATAAAAATATTTTACGTACAAACAAAAGAAATGAACTGCTGTTCATATATAGCTACGAAGATGGAATGAATCAAGGCAAGCCAAGTTAACACTATCCATTTACATTCAGTACAGTAGTTACCTTGGAAAGTTGTTTCTGGCATCTGAACTCCACCAGTTATAATCTGTGAACACACACCTTCGAAAATTCCATATGCGATGGTTACGGTAACAGTGCTTGAATTTGCTTGGGTAAAGGTAACCTCACTTGATGCCCAGTTTTTGGTTGCAAGAATGAGGCAGACTATCACAAAAGACCAAATACTAGTAAAAAAGGCAGCTGCAAACATCAACATTTTTTTCCTGGATGGCATTTTGTCACAAAGAAGTGTTTGTCTTGGGATTCAGAATATTTTTTTCTTATTTCCTTAGTCCTTTTAGTCTTGAGACTGTTCTCTGCCCTGCTGCTAGAAACTCTGGACCTCGTTCTTTGTACTGGCAGGAAGTTTATGCCAGTAAACTTTTAACTAGCAGCCATGGTAATAAAGATGTAAAATAAGTGAACTTTGGTCTGGAGACAAGGTGTTGCCATAGCTACAACAAAACTAATCTAACAAAGGACAGTAGGAACCTGCCACTATGGTTTCTCTTCATCAAATGATTGATTTATTTTGGGCTGTGCTTTGCCAAGTGAAATGAGACCAAAATACAGGCCTTTCCAAACAGATTTCCTGAAAGGTCTTCTAGACCTTGAAAAGTATAGGCGCTAATATAACACTCTTGCTTATGAAGAATTAGCAGAAATATTAAAGTACAACTTTCTTGAAGACTCTTCCTCAACCCAACAAGTATTAGCTGCTGCTTCTCCTGAGAAGCTTGTAACCAATCAGGAAATAAAACAAAAATTGCTACATTCATATCAAAATGGCTTTCTAAGGACCTGGAAAACTTGGGGTGGAAATATCAACAATAAAATCTTCCCTTTTTGCTTTTTTTATTTTGACATGTTATACGGTTCTCCAAATACCTTTAACTAACATTGAAAAAATCCTTTATGAAAGAAATCATAAAGCATTTAAAAGGTTATTATTTTATTATCAAGAGAAACTGTGCCTCCCTAACCTCTAACTTCATCATGCTCCTTTAACTTATACACTAAATACATCAATAGATAATGCATACAGTATTGAAAATATCTACATAAGGCAGATCATTCATTCATTCTGAAGCATTTAATTTTAATGACATAGCAGAGATCTAAAATAAGCAATATAGGAATGTGCCATTGAACTGTATAATTGAGCACATGAAAGGATATTGATGATACTACCCTAGACATTCAATATCATATACAATACTTATTAATAAACTAATATTTTATAGGTGGGAGGAATGAAAAGATACCATTTTTCTATCTTGCCTGCAAAGTGTTAGCCACATTTTGAAGCCTAAACATTTTTACCCTCAAAACTAAAGTGTGAGAGAGAGAATTATCTGCCATTTATTTTACTGAGACCAGTATTTTCCTAGCACTTGGATTTTCTCATCTGATACTTTCAATGCAGTGTTTTTAATGCTGTTGGTAAATGAACCCTTTAAGTGGTCTGTTGGATGCGTAACAGCACTGTAAACACACTGAAAGGTTTACCTTTTATGAAATAAGAGGAACAAAGGATTTCTAAGTGGGGAGCAGGGAGTGATGGGGTGGGATGGGGGAGTTTCCTTCTGGAGCTGCAATGACGTTACACTCTAGCACTCTTATGGTTAAAGTCTGCTTGATTTCTTCATTCAAAATTTTAAACAAGTGATTAGATTAAAAATTAATTCATTTTACTTCAGAGCTTTTTATTGGAGTTTTTGATCGTTATAGTTTCCATATCCAGTCATGTATCTGCTCAACTATCAAACTTTATTTTTAAAGATACTTTGGATCCAATTACTTTCATGACTTGAATTTATATACTTCATAATCTATTACACAGCATTTAATTTAATGGCAAATGTCTATCAACATGGGACTTAAGTACAAAAGATCAAAGCTCTGCTGTATATTTTTTGCCATGCCAAACAAGGCAAGATGAGAGGAAGATGGTTTTCATTTTCACTTTTACTTTTCAAACAAATGAATGTTAATTATAGAACTATACACAGACTTTTATGAACCTCATCCACACTGTATTACTTCTGGTCTAATGACTCTGTCTCCATGCTTTCTCCCCTCCACCCAATCTAGTGAACTGATGAAGCTCTGGGAGTTCCACAATACACAAGAGTAAAGACCCCTGGATGAGGTCTATCCTGCTTCTCTCTCTTTTATGGGACAAGGACACTAATTTCTATTCCCTGACTGAATGAATGCCCAGACCCTCCTGGCATGAAAATTCATAAAGGCAAATTTATAATTATAATTCCACATAATCAGCATACAAAGCTTTGAAATTCATTTTCCTAAAACATTTATGCCAGCTCTGCTTGTTCTCCATGCATTACTAAATTAGAAACCCATGTTATTATAAAACACACCAAAGCTAAATTAATCTGAGCAGCATTCAATAACATTTCTTTGCAATAATGTCAAAGAAAACACATTGCTTGATCTTGGGATTTCTAAGTAACCATCTATTTTTATTGTACATGAAAGTATTACTCTCAGGAACTATCCTATGGCCAGCCCTGATATACAAAGAATATCAGGAGTACAAGTTTTTCTTTCAGGTACCATGAAGCACGGGGTTGATATCACAATTTGGAAATTAGGACTTGATCCCAGTGAAAGCATAGAAACCTGCTGGTAGCAGTGCTGGCTTCCCAGAAAGGAGAGAGAGGATCAGGTTGAAGGTAGAAATATAGTGATCTCTCCTTATTTTGCATAGGCCAAAGAGGAAGGAGGGCTCTCTTTTGTACCATTTCAAAGATGAAGCTAAGATATTCTTTCAGAAAACATAATCTCTAAGTAAGAAAAATTGTATCCAGGAATATCTCTGGCAGTTATGTGAGACCACACTGCCAGCTACTATGGATATTTAAAGGCACAGACTTGGGGTCAAGTCTTCAGGGCATATACATTTAATACTACTGAAGGATGTGGTCCCCTTTCTTAAAAACCTTGCTCAGTAATGGAGAATTACAAAACTAATAAATGGAAAAAGTGTTATTCATAGACCATACCAAAGGATTCCCATAAATTACACTTCTGTTTAAATGCCTTTTGCATGTAGTGATCCAAATTCTTCCTCAGTTACATTAATGAAAATATACAGAAACTCCTTTACAGCCTATGACCTTGCTCTCTAAAGGGGAGCAGACAACATCTATTCTAGTTTAGTTGCTTAACCTTTTATTTTTCCTACTGGTGCTTACTCATTTGGCCCTTTTCCCCCTTGGCACTATTGTTATTACTTTATAAAAAAAAGAGTTATGTAGCTATTTTATATATCCTAGCTCATCCCATACATTTCACAATACATCTAGAGATGAAGCTATCATTTTCTAGGACAACACTTGGCTCTACTATACATGAAAGATTAATCTGCCTGGTTTAGAGGTTGAAATTTATACATTCAAAGAGTGTCTAGATCCTAGCAGAGAGCCAGTTTTTATGGGAGCAGTTTCTCATTTCACTGCAGTATTCATACATCTTACTCCCAGAACAGGAATATACACATGCACATACAGAGGAGTTTAAAACATGACAGCAGTTTTTCATCAGACAAAAAAAAGCATTTATGTTTGCTGCAGCAAATATAAATTTTCTACCTTCAATAAGTTGCCTTTATACAGAAGTTATACCACAACAAAAAGTTTTATTCTCCAAAATGGCTGCAAAGGGAAAATGGATTCATTCAAAATGAATCAGAATCTTGATAGCAGCAATTTCATTTTTTCCACTGACCTCAGTATAAAAATATATACAATTATTTATCTTATGTATATTATATTTCTAGTATGATCTTCACTCACACCTGCTTGCACAACCAAGCCAACTATGAAATGTGAAAACAGAAGCTTTTTTTACCTGCAGACAGAATTTCTGAGCCTATTGCTGCCTGTTACAGGAAGCCTCAAATATCTCTTGAACAAGGCGTAAAGGTGTTCTCTCTCTCTCTTTCCTATCCACCTGCTAGTTTCCTATTTAATTGTGAGTGATAACAAGATGAGCAGGGTATAGTCTGTATCTCAGTGGCATTACTTTGACTTTCCTTTTTCTTGTCCCCTTTCTCTGGTGTTCATTCTATGTAGGAGGGGTGAAAACCTGGCTTCGCTGATGTCAAGGGCAAAGCAACCTTGGAGTAAGATGTTCACACCATGAAACAGTCCAGTCCATTTTATGGATGACCTTGGGTTAACTGGGGAATAAAACTAGAACCCTACATTCGTAGTTTTCATGGGAGTCAACTGGGATGAATGCTGAAGGAATTAGGACCAACCAAAGCAGTTTTTGCTATGTCAAAAGGACATTGTATTGTTGTGTTTCCTGTATATTTCTTTTTATTTATTTCTCCTTCGTTTTTACAATGTAATTACAATGTAAAATTGTATGTTGCACCAGGAATAAAGAGAGGAGTTGTTTACCACTCTACTGCATCATGGCATTGGTATTGCCTATCTTGTAGATAAATGATATCATCTGTGCTTATCAGGAGTCTGGAGGCCAAAAAAAGAGGGTAAATCCGAAGCCAGGTGACTATAAACCAATTTCTGTCCTGTTGTAACAATCAAAACAACTACCACCAGAAAATAATGTTTAATGATAACTAATGTAGACACAAGTAGTTTCAGAAATACCGTTGCCAGTTAAAAAGTTTATTTTGAATAACAATGAACTGCTTATATAAGTTGTGAAATGACTTAGTATTCAGACTGAAAGATAGCTGGGCTGATTATGTTTGTTAGCCTTTGTTCTGATGTTATTAAATATCTTTGACAACTCACAGGTTAAAGACCTGGAAGTGACTTCAAAGATAAGAAAGAAATACTAAGAACTGGATTCATTTTTATCTGATATGTAGGCACAGTCCTCATTTGCTTTCACTGCTGAATATGGGTTGTTGTATAGTAATTTATTTATTCCTTTGGGGAAAAAAGTCTGATTTTAAAAAGACCTGGTAGATTCTTTGGTAGATGAGGAGATTACATGACAAAATAGATATATTAAACCTGAAAAATTATTGAAGAACTAATTCAGTGCGATGTTTTTAGAAGGGAATTATGAAAGGGATTTCAAGTGAACACAATAAAACACTTATGGTTATATGCAGTGACAGTAATTATGCAATTAGCTTAATACCTATGTAGCCATGCAATGGATTTATGCTTTTGAGCATTCTGTTTTTATTCTACTATGGCTCTGATCTCTTTTTACAGAACAAAGTAGTATTAGAAGAATAATTTTAATTATTAAAATTTCTTTAAAAAGAGCACCCAGACTTTGGTTCAGTTAAGCCTCTATTCCTCTTACATTGTTATCATTTTTTGTAATTCTGACATCAGAGCTGTACTG